AAGTTGTTGTTAACAAGGAATGTTGTGAAAATGAACAAGCGCGGCACATGGAAACACACACACACACACACACACACACACATTATATATACTGTATATATATATATAAAATAAAGTGCTCTGGTTCACATTCAGTTAGAAATGAAACTGCATCATGCAACTTAAAACAGAGTGTTTAAACTATTTTAGCTGAATCACTTTTTGAAATGTCTGGTCCATTACAATCAATATCTAATCAATAAGACTCCACAGGTGTAACCTGTGTCTCTACGGTCAGACTCGGGTTCTAACTCGGGTTCTAACTCGGGTTCTAACTCGGGTTCTGACAGCAAAGCTTTTACACTACAAACCTGTCAATCACATGTTAGTGAATAGTTACTACAGGAAAGACTAAAGTCCTCAGCGGTCAGCATGAAGCTCCTCCCACTTTCTGTAGGCGACACCACAAACCCTCCACCGTGATAAAGGCACAGTCCAAATAAAACTTGTATTTGTAATTTCCCATTCATCTCAGTGAAGAGACTGAGTCAAATGGTTTATTAGTGATGAAACCTCGTTTGCTTTGTGCAGAGCTCAGTCTGACTGAAACAAGTGCGACAGTGAGAGGAGCTGAAATCATTTACGTTTGTGGTCGCAGGGCAGGAAACTGGCCGGCTGAGGGGAGTGCACGGAGAGTGACAGAGGTCAACGAGATGTAGAAGGTTGGTGCTAGCTGCTAACTGTTAGCTGCTCTGGCTGAGCACATCCTTAAACCCCTGCTCAGGCTGTGTCCTTGGTTTTGACGCCTTGTGATTTGTCTGAACTGACCATTAAACATAAAAGGACACAAAGATTCAGGAGTAAAGAAATCAGAGACGTTTCACACCCGTGGCTCTACGTCGGCTTTAGGAGGCGGCTGATACCTCGGCTTTAGGAGGCGGCTGATACCTCGGCTTTAGGAGGCGGCTGATACCTCGGCTTTAGGAGGCGGCTGATACCTCGGCTTTAGGAGGCGGCTGATACCTCGGCTTTAGGAGGCGGCTGATACCTCGGCTTTAGGAGGCGGCTGATACCTCGGCTTTAGGAGGCGGCTGATACCTCGGCTTTAGGAGGCGGCTGATACCTCGGCTTTAGGAGGCGGCTGATACCTCGGCTTTAGGAGGCGGCTGATACCTCGGCTTTAGGAGGCGGCTGATACCTCGGCTTTAGGAGGCGGCTGATACCTCGGCTTTAGGAGGCGGCTGATACCTCGGCTTTAGGAGGCGGCTGATACCTCGGCTTTAGGAGGCGGCTGATACCTCGGCTTCAAACGTTTGGTAAACGTCACTGTCTTCCTAAACATTACGATGAGACAAACAATGAAAAGCACTCCGAACACCGACAGACCCACTGCCAGTCCAACATGGCCGAACTTCTTTTCTTCATTCTTGATTGATTTTTCAGTGTTCCCTCCATCCTCGTCTCCTCCATCCTTGTCTCCTCCCTCCACAGTCTGTCCACCAATGGAACCTGTAGAGGAGCAGCAGGTGTGCTCCACAGTCTGTCTACCAGTGGAACCTGTAGAGGAGCAGCAGGTGTGAGTATCAGCTGTCAGGTAGGTGAGGACCCAAGACCAGAACCAGCTCCTGTCAGACATGATCTCCTGCACTGGGACCACATCACTCAGCCCAGCTGCTTTCTACAAGGCCTCATCAACAACATCTGGAGAAAACACCAACATCTGTCTGGGATGGTTCACTGTCACATGGACAACCAGGAAGCTGCTGCTACACACACTCACCTGAGTCTGTGACTTCCAGGTTCACCAGGTGTCTGACATGTGATCTCTCATCACTTCCTGGGTCGATGACGATGATCTGACACTTGTATGTTCCGGTGTCGTTGACGTCGACCTTCTTCAGAATCACCGACGCGTCTCCGTCTTTGAGCGCTGCCTCTCTGAGCTGCACTCGACCACGAAAGGCTGGATGTTGGTATCTTTC